GTGGAGCAAGAATGCTCACTTCTTGCTAGGAGGAGATAATTAATTTTAGCTAGCCTGGGCAAGAAGTTAGCAAGACCTCCTCTAAACCAGTAAGAAGCTGGTGTGATAGCTATGAAAAAGCAGGGAACCATAAACAGGAGGACTATGGTCCTGGGAAAAGTATGAGACCCTTTAAAAAATACCTAAAGCAAAAAAAGGCTTAGGGGTTTAGGACATGGCTCAAGTGATAGAGGCCCTGAGTTCAAACCACAATAAGAAATAAATGACTATATAAATAAATGGCAGGGGAGAGGGATCGCTGAGATATCAATACAGTTGTCCCTTGCTATATCACAGATCATATTGCGGCTTCACTGTATGGAGAATTGTTGTTGGTTTTTTTTTTTGTTTTTTTTTTTGCCAGTCGTGGGGCTTGAACTCTGGGCCTGGGTACTGTCCCTCAGCGCTTCAGCTCAAGGCTAGTGCTCTACCACTTGAGCCCCAGAACCACTTCTGGCTTTTCTGCTTATGTGATGCTGAGGAATCGAACCCAGGGCCTAATGCATGCAAGGCAAGCACTCTACCACTGAGCCACCTTCCCAGCCCTGTGGAGGCTTTTGTTGTTGTTGTTTTAATACTATTTAGTATCACTATTTAGTGATCCCTCACCAATCTCAGGAACTACATTCCAGAGACACCCCCCACCCCCTCCACCCCCCTCCCCCGCGACAGATGAAAATCAGTGAAGTAGCAATAAGTGAACCAAGCTACAGGGACCTAACCCTGCTACTTTGCCGAGGTCTCTGGAACGCAGCTCCCATGAGAGGTGAGAGATCACTGTATACTCTGATACCTTCAAGGGCACGTCCTCAGCGATCTATGTTCTCCAACCAGGTGCCACCTCCGAAACATGCTACCACCTCCTAATAATACCATCAGCTGACCACTAAACCTTCAACACATGTGTGTAGAACAGTTAAGGTCTAACTCATATAAATACCAAGAAGAACCTATGCATTTGTCCATGTAGTTATGATTTCCAAGCTCTTCATTACTTTCTGTACACCATTTGGTCTCATTTTCCTTCCAGTTGAAGGGCTTGCTATAACACATCTTGTAATGTGGAGCTATCTATAGTAAGAAATTATCTCCCCTTTTATGTATCTTTCCATCTTTGCTGTTTCTTAGTGAAATATAGTCTTACCAGATATTAAGCTGTCATCTGGATTTTCAGCTTTCTATAAATCTACTTTGTAGATTTATTCCTGTGTACCTAGCTATTCCTCCTGGCTATTTTAAATTTTTTTAAAGTATCTGTATTGAGTAATTTTATTATAAAGTGACTTTATGTAGTTTTCGTCATGTTTCTTATAGTTGGAATTTATTAAACTCCTTAGATCTCTGAGTAAGAATTTAGTTTTTATTTCCATCTTTTACTATTTCCCTCTTTGAGGATTCCAATTACATGTATGACCTCAAATTGTCTCAACTTACAGATGGCTCTGTTGTTTTAAACATGATTTTCCTCCCATGGTACAACCCCTGTTTTCACTGTAGTTGATTCCGGTGCCCTACATCATGTATATACATTTTTCCAATTTGGAGAGGGGAAAGGAAATAACAAAATGCTGAAATAAGGATACAGGTTGGCCCAGTGTAACGAGATGCACAAGACACTATGTTGAAAACGAGGGGCAAGGCGGTGAGGGAGAGGAGTGGGGGAGTTGGGGAGGAAAGGAAAGGGATGGTAGGGGAAAAACAAAGGAGGGGTAACAATGCTCAAATAGGAAATGTACTCATTACCTTACTCATGTAACTATAACCCCTCTGTACAGTATCTTTTTTTTTTTTTTTGGTCAGTCGTGGGGCTTGAATTCTGGGCCTTAGCGCTGTCCCTGAGCTCTTCAGCTCAAGGCGAGCACTCTATGGCTTGAGCCACAGCGCCACTTCCGGTTTTCTAGTGGTTTATTGGAGATAAGAGTTTCACGGGCTTTCCTTCCTGGGCTGGCTTTGAACCAGGATCCTCAGATGTCAGCCTCCTGAGTAGCTTAGATTACAGGCGTGAGCCACCAGTGCCCAGCCTGTACAGTATCTTTACAATTAAAAAAATGTATTAAAAATGATTTTCTCAACTGCCCGATAAATAAGTGGGCTAAAGACTTAAAGAGAAACTTATCTGAAGAGGAAAGAAGGATGGCCAACAGACACATGAAGAAATGCTCAACCTCCCTAGCCATAAAAGAAATGCAAATTAAAACAACATTGAGATATCACCTCACCCCAGTTAGAATGGCTATAATCAAGAACTCTAATAACAACAGATGCTGGAGGAGATGTGGACAGAAGGGAATCCTACTGCATTGTTGGTGGGAGAGTAAACTTGTTCAACTACTTTGGAAAGTAGTGTGGAGGTTCCTCAAAAGACTCCACATAGAGCTCCCTATGACCCAGCAATCCCACTTTTGGGCATTTACCCAAATGATCATAAACAAGACCACACTAAAGCTACCAGCACAACTATGTTTATTATGCAGCATTATTTACCATAGCTAAGATATGGAATCAGCCCAGGTGCCACTCAGTAGATGAATTGATCAAGAAATTGTGGTATATATACACAATGGAATTCTAGGCCTTCTTCAGAAAGAATGACATTGCCCCATTTGTTAGGAAATGGAAAGACTTGGAAAAAATTATATGAAGTGAAGTAAGCCATGCCCAAAGAAACATAGGTCCCATGGTTTCCCTTATTTGCAATAACTAGTATATGTCTGAGTCAAGCAGAAATGGTCAGATAAGTTGATGTTAAGTGAAATGAACCTCAAGTTAAGGACTCAAATGTTTTTTTTTTCTTTTTTGCTATTGTGTCTAACATATTTATAAGATATTTCCTTGTTGCTTTGTATGTCCCTCCCCCACAGTTATAACCCCTGTTTTCACTGTATTTGATGTTGGTATAATTTGTGGAGGGGAAGGAAAAAAACAAATTGTTTAAATAGGGATACAGGTGGACCCATTGCACCAATGAGATGTACAAGATGTTATGTCGAAAATGAACTTTACAACTTTGGCAAGGGCCGGGGAGAGTGGGGAGGGAGATTGGAAGGGATGGAAAGGGGAAACAAAGGAGAAGGCAACAATGCTTGATAAGAAATGCACTCATTACCTTGCCCATGTAATTTTAACTCCTCTATATGGTATTTTCGCAATAAATTAAAAAAAGAAATTAAAAATTAAAAAGTATTTTCTGCCTTGAGAAACACATTTTCTTACTGTCTTCAAGATCACTAATCTTTTCTTCTGTGGTATCTAGTCTTCCAGTAATCTAATCTACTGTACTTTTCACACACTGCAGTTTCATCTTTTCATATTTCCCATGTCTCTGTTTACCTTTGTGAAGCATAATGTCTGATCTAATGACAATCTAACATCTGGATCAGTTTTAATTGATTAGTAATTTCTACCTTATGTACTTTTTAAACTTCATGTATGGTTGGTATTTTGAATAAATCCAGACTTTGTAAATTTTGCCTTGAAGAGTACTAGCTGTTTTCGTATGCCTACATTATCATATTACTTAAGTTCCTTGAAAAAAAAGTTCCTTTAGGGACATGCTTTTAAAGATTTTCTGGGTAGAATTGGAGCTATATTCAAAGCAGATTTATTGTCTGCTACAGAGGGGAGACTTCCCTGAACTCATTCCTGTGGATGTTGAGGTTTTTCAGTGGAGGAACAGGAACTAATCCTAGCCCAAGGCAATGGTCATATGATACCCAGCCCTGGTGTTTGTTTGACTTGTATGTGCTAGTTGGTACTTGGTAATTTTTTACTGGGAACTTTAGTAGGCTGAATAATGGGCCATCAAACATGTCCATGTTCTTTATAAAGCAATAGTGACTTGACAGAAATGGGAGATTATCCTGAATTATCAAGGTGGCCTTATCTAGACATATAAGTCCATAGAAGAAAGAAGTAGGTTTAAAAAGCCTAGAAAATAGCAATTGTAACGATGAAAACAAAAGGTTGGAGTGATGTGAGAAGAAGTCAAGGAATCTAGGTGGGTTTTTGAAGCTGACAAAGAGAAGCGAGCAAGATACACTCCCTAAATCCTTCAGAAGGAATGCAGACTTTTCAAATTCTTTATATGTCAGGCTTGCAAACAGTTTTATATTATGAATAACTCTATAGAATCTTATTCCCTTAGAGAGAAAACTCAAATTTTTCTATCTAGATTTCCAGAATTGAGGATAAGGTCCAGGGATCTGGGCATTGATGTCCTCAATGAGAAAATGATATTTGAAAAAATCAGGTTCACACTGTTATCTTTTCACTTCCCCATGGCTTATTGATTGGGTTGTTTCATCTCTACTGTAAGACTGACAGCTCCTGGGGGATATCTAAGGCTTCTTCACGGTCATCTAGAACAGAAAACACCATAGATGTCTGAAAGACTGAATGACGCCTAGGTACACTCCCACCCACTCTCATATGTAGAAGTTTGCATACCAAATTTAGTATGTGTGTGAATTTCAGGGCATTTAAACAACTGATTATGGCACTATCCTTGACCCTAAGGACTGACTTTGTAAGTCATTGCTAAGTCACAAGTCTCTAATTCTGCACATAGACTCAAAACATCAGCCTGGTCAGTGTCACTATGATTCATCCTCTTCTAGAAATGATTCTTGCTCACTCCATGCAAGCAAGCTTGCAAAGGTAACTGCTCAAGATAAGCATGTGTATTAGGAGTATGTGGATTTGATGGAAGTATATTATAGACATATATTGAAATATCACAATGGAATCCCTTTGTATAATTAACATATACTAAAAGACACACAGAGGAAGAGGTAAAAGGACAGAGAGAGAGGGAGGGAGAGAGAGGATGAACCAATTGATTCCTCATTTCAGAAAGTAAGTCATTGTGGAGTTTGGAAGAACTTTACCAAAGCATGCCAAGATGCTGATGAACAGCTATGTGTCATTCATTCACTTCCTTTCTTCTTCCTTCTACTTTGTAGGGCACAAACATCCAAGCATGAGTATGAGTACTATAAAATTACTGAAGTATATCCTGTTTGCCTTCAACTTGCTTTTTTGGGTAAGTGTGTCTTTCATGAGCATGGTCGAAATAACCTTTTCCCAGCTAAACTTTCCTCCATCCTCTACCAAAGAAAACTAGTATGGAACACAACCCATATATGCCTGGCTAATATCCAAAATATAAATCCAGCACACCTAGTGTAGGTATAAAGAAGTAATGTTTGTCCCAATCCTTTTCTCATCCTGCCACAGTGTAAGCCTACAAAACAATATACCAGTGTAATTATTCATGGGGATGCACTATTCTAGGGGTTTATGGCTACTACTGCTCACAATTGACATCTACTGGTCAGAAACTGAACTGCAATTTGGGTACTCAATAACATTCTCCCCTCACCCAAGAGCCCTTGGAAGAATAGCTGGTTGAAAGAGAAGTCATCTTTTCTGGGGATGTTCTTCTGTGTCATATTTAGCTATTAAAATTAAGATGTAGGATTGGTTATTACTTGTGTCTCTGAGGAGATTCTAGTGTCCCCTCCACACCATTCCCATACTTGGGATTGAATCCAGGGCCTTGTATTTGCTAACCAAGTACTCTACTATTTGAACTATGCTCCCAGGCCTTTTTGTTTTTGAGATGGCTCTTGTTAACTTGGCCTGTGCAGGCCTCCAACAATCCCCCTGCCTTTGCCTCTTGAGTAACTGAGATTACAGTCAAGTACCACCATGCCTAGTTTATGAGAAAATTCTTGTGAATTTGGCTTCTCTAGTTTTCTTCCTAGCAAGATGAAATTCCTTATGCAGGGCGTCTCTTCTACATGGTCATAGTTTCCAAAGAAAGGCCATATGTGAGGGCACAAGTAGTAGCATATCTAATCATGAACTTTGCATGTAGTGAAAATGTTGTGTGGATCATATAGGAGGCCTTTCCTTAGTAGCTGGAAATGAGTAGGAAGAAATACGGTGGGACTTCATATGAGGAGTCTGAGATTACCTCTCTTCTAGGAGTGTGGGAAGCTGGGTAAAGCAGTTGTTTGTGAGTGTCTTGAGTGAATCAATGGAAACAGGTGATTCTAATCTTAAGAAAGTGATCATACGTATGAAGAGATAACAACTGGTCTTAGTCTGTCATAATATTCTTCCTTTCAGGTTTTTGGCTGTTTCATTTTGGGCTTTGGGATCTACTTTTTGGTCCACAACAACTTTGGAGTGCTCTTCCATAAACTCCCCTTCCTCACACTGGGCAATGTACTCGTCATCGTGGGCTCTATTATCATGGTAGTTGCCTTCCTGGGCTGCATGGGCTCCATCAAGGAGAACAAGTGTCTGCTGATGTCGGTGAGTTGTCATACAGCAGATGCAGTACCCTAAGTAGAGGATAGATGATATTTCCAGTCCTAGGTAGACCGCCTATAGGTACAGGATTGGTACAGATGAGCAAAACCTGTCTACAGTACTTTGCTTCTGGCTGAGGCCTCAGGGACAGATAAGAGAGGATATTACTAACTGCCTTGGTATCTATTTTACACTGATAATAATGAGTCTTGTGATTGTAATTTACCTTCACAGCATTTTTTCTCTATTTCTGGTTGAAATCAATTGTCATCCATCTGCCTAAATTCTCATGTGACAATGTACTTCAAATGTGACTTAGTCACTGGTGGAAAAATAGTCACTAGTCTGCTCTGAGCCTGGTGGCCTTCCTCAAATGGTAGAGCATGCTTCCTTAACTCATATCTGCACAAGATAAATACAGTGAGTGACTTCATTCCTTGGCTGTAGACATTGAGGTCTAACAAGAGTTTTAGGTGCATAGTGCAATTGTTTTCTTTTCATAATCATCTTGACATTTAGGTTTGGATTTTGCTTGCAGGCATTGTGGAAGAAGAGCTCCACATTTCTCTAATATGTCCAGAACGGAGCTTGTTACAACAATGCATCTCTATCCAGAGATGTGGGTTCCCAATTTCCTTGATTCTTCCTTAATTCTTCTTAGGACTTCTTTCCCTGTGGACTAATACTTAACCTAGAGTCCAAAGAAATAAAAATAATCTGTCCTCAGATAGTTCTCATACTTATAGCAAAAGATAGGAGATATCAGGTATGGGTTTAAAGGCATAAGCAATAAAAATTAGTGTTGCAGAATTAAATGGAGAAGGAATAAGTGAAAAAAATGGTGTATGTTTGTGTGTGTGTGTGTGTGTGTGTGAGAGAGAGAGAGAGAGAGAGAGAGAGAGAGAGAGGCATAAAGAAAGTAAACTCTAAAAAGTGGAGATAAAAATAAGTTGGAACTATGAGTAGAGCCCTTCTTTCCCTGACCTAGTCTTCAACCTTCAGCACCACTGACCCTCTACCTCAAGCTCTGGTAGAAAGCACAAAGCCTCAAACTCCAAAGGCAATGGTTTAGTTTGTTGACTTTTTCTTCAACCATTTCAATAGGCTGATGCCAATATTGCTTAATTTATGCGACAAGTAGTGTGTCAAATATGTATTATAGGTACATGGTACTCTTGTTGGTGGGAAAGAACGATGACTCAGATCTGCCCTCTAGTGTCCAGTTGTAAGAACACACATTCCTCACAGAACAAGAGAGGGTTGACAAAGTCCTGAGGAAGACAGGCAGGAAAATCTCATGTGCACAAGTCCACCTAGATGCTTCCAGCAATAAAGCGATAGGCAGAAACTTGGATCGGTATCATGACCATGTCTCTATTTTGCCACAGTTTTTTATTCTGCTACTGATTATCCTCCTTGCTGAGGTGACCTTGGCTATTCTACTCTTCGTGTATGAACAAAAGGTAAGTTATGAAGAACACAACTCACTGTCTGATTGCTGAAAGTGGGGAGTGAGCAGTGGAAAAGCTGGCACAAAATAAAGATATAGCAATGAAGTAGAAGGATGACCGAGATTAATTGTAATTGGAGAGAGGAGAAAATGTCACGAAGGAAGGTTGTATTTGATTGGTGGTGATCTTCTTTCTGCTTACTCTTACTTTGCATATTTAGCTGTGAAGAATGTCCATCTGGTGGCCAATGATAGGCCTTGCTTTGATCACCCTTTTTCTTCCTTTGTGGAGCTATAGCTCTTGAAGAATAAGAATCTGTTACGTACCTCTTCCTTCAATGCCAACTCCCCATCAGCCCTTCTCCCCACATGTGTACTTCCTCCCACCACATCCCTAATTCCAAGGAAATGGTTTGGAAGGAGGGGACAAGTAGCTCTATTACTATACATTTCTTATTCCTTGAATTCACCTGCTTTTTACAATGTCTCCTCTGCTGAATGTTACCTGCCCAGCTGAATAAGTATGTGTCTGAAGGCCTGAACGACAGCATCCAACGTTACCACTCAGACAACAGCACCAAGGTGGCATGGGATTTCATCCAGACACTTGTGAGTACAGATGGAATCTTCTTCAGATCAGCCGGATTTCATTTCCAACCTTAGTCCCTACAAGCTAACATTCCTTTTTGGGAGGTTTCAGAATCTAAGGTCTGTACTCCATAATCCCATAGTTTCAGAAATAATGCCTTATCTATCATCAACAGAGGAGCCCAGAAATCAATCTGATCAGTTCAAAGTTCTCTGCATCCTCTGATCCTTTACTACATCAAAATAGGCTCATTGTCCAAGTCTTTATAGAATGCTAAGAAGATATAAATGTATTAGTTTATGTGTCTTCCAACGAAAAAACCCAAGTGGTATAATACAAAAACTTTCTATTCAATTCCCAAGTTACCCCAATTAGGCTTGTTATAAAGTATTCAAGTACCTCTGTGCCCATCCACAAAGAAGTGTTAGGGAGCCCTAAATAGACACAATCTAAAACAATACCATCATAACCAAATGTTGGCTTAATGTGAAATCCAAGAAACAACCTAAGAATTAGAGCAGAGACTGTAATCTTTAGATCCCACTTGTTTACTTTTTTTCAATATAGTTTAAAAGTTTTGTGAAATATAATTTACACTCCCCCACCCCCCCACACACAAAGTTAAGAAATGTCAGCAGATAAACTTCTGGGTAAGTGCCTTGGCTTCCCAGTGTCACCTCATCTAATCCCCTATGATTTTTATTTTTGCCAGAGTGTGTGTGTATGTGTGTGTGTGTGTCTGTGTGTGCGCGCGCACACGTGTGCACGCGTGTGCTCGCCTGCCAGTTCTGGTGTATAAACTCAGGGCCTGGGTGCTGTGCTCAAGGCTAGCACTCTACCACTTGAGCCACAGTTTCACTTCTGGACTTTTTGATAGTTTACTTGGAGATAAATGTCTCACAGGCTTTCCTGCTCCAGGTGGCTTCGAACCACAATCCTCAGATCTCACACTCCTAAGTAGCTAGGATCTCAGGCATAAGCCACCAGCACCCAGCTTTAAACATTTATTTAAATATTTGCTTTAAAACATTTTAAAGCAAAATATCTAAAGCAAAAATATTTTAAATATTTTAAAGCAAATATTAAACATAAAATCACCCATCAAATGTCACTAACTAATCAATTTATCCTAGCTTTCTCAAAATTGTCCAAATCAAGATCTAAAGAAGGGACTTGGGTTTGGCTCAAATAGTATAGCACTTACCTACCAAGACCCTTAGTTCTATCCCTAGCATCATATGGTCTGTGAACCTAGACACCTGATAAAGCTCAATTATATGTAAAGACTCTCAAGTTGGTATCTTCTTGTTGCATCATGTAAGCAGGTACAAAACTTCTTCAGTGATCTTAAAACTAACTAGTTGGGGGAGGGGCTGGGAAGTTGGATCAGTTGTAGAGTGCTTGCCTCACATGCATGAGGCCTTGGGTTTGATTCCTCAACACCACATAAGCAAAAAAAAAGCCAGAAGTGGCACTGTGGCTCAAGTGGTAGGGCACTCGCTTTGAGCTGAAGAACTGAGGGACAGCACTCAGGCGCAGAGTTCAGCCCCCACGACCAACCAAAAAAGAAAAAGAAAAAACTAGCTAGTGGGTCTATTCTCATCATTAGAAGTGCCCAAGGGGTGGGTACTGCTGGCTCACATTTGTAATCCTAGCTATTAAGGAGGCTGAGATCTGAGGATTGTGGTTCAAAGCCAGCCTAGGCAAACAAATCTGAGATACCCACATCTCTAAATAGCCAGCAAATACTGCAGGTAGCTCTAGCACAGGTAGCCTTGAGAGCAGAAAAAGCCAAGAAAAAACACAGGCCTTGAATTCAATCCCCTGGGTATATAATTCTTGATCTGTAAAATGTAAATAAATTAGATGTGCCCTCATTATTCTGAAAAGGTCTTATGGGAATAAAGTGGAACAGATTTTAAATTACTTTATTCCAAGGAGCTCATACTAGTAGACTAGTTCTGGACTTTCTGCTATGGAGTCAGATCTGGCTTTCCTCCTATTGATTATCTAACCATCATGTTTTGGGGGATTTGGCTTCCAGCTGAATTGTTGCGGTGTAAATGGCACTAGTGATTGGACCAGTGGCCCACCAGCATCTTGTCCGTCCAATCCAGAAGTTAAGGTAATTTTGTTGGCAGCTTTCTTCTTATTAGCTTGTTTAAACATTTAGTTAGCTTGGAAACTATGTCATAAAGGGTCTAGCATGCCTACTCTCTGGGTTTGATTCCTTAGCACCACATAAACAGAAAAAGCCAGAAGTGGCGCTGTATCTCAAGTGGCAGAGCACTAGCCTTGAGCACGAGAGACCCAAGGACAGTGCCCAGGCCCTGAGTTCAAGCTCCAGGACTAGAAAAAGAAAAAATAACAGGGAACTTTGAACAAAAAGTGAATTGGGTGACAACCCCAGGTAACTAGAAAAACCGAGAAATCTAAGGATCTAGCTCATATAGCTGCAGGTACTGTAAAGAATCTTGATATACTAAACTTCTGATTAGAGTTTGTATGATAATAGCAGAGGATTTAGTATCATACATTCATTATAAAAGGGGAGGTTTCATTGTGACATTTCCAAGCTTTATACAATATATCCCAATCAATCTTTGGCCCTCTTCCCCCTCCCAAATACAACTTCTACTAACCTGGCTTCATTTTTCTATTTTTCTTAGTTACAAACAAACTATTTTAACTATATTCATCCACATTCACCCTCCTTTTTAGCCCCATCCACTCCAGTGGTACATCCCCATACCTTACAGAGCCTATTTCTCTATCCTTATACCCTCAATCAATATTGATCAGTATCTCTTGTTGAGATTGTTTATAGTGGTAGAGGATTTTGTCTATTTTTTTAGTATCTTTGTAATGTATGGTAAAATGTATGGGCTTAAAGTAAAAGAGCTTTTCCCTCTACCTGTTTCTCTGTTCTTCCTAGAAGATGCTTAATGAAATGGATCATGAGTGAAGGGGACAAGGGATGAGAGAAAACTATAGAACTATTGAAACCACCTTCCACTTAATTTGCATCTCTAGGATAGGCCCAGGGAAGAAGCCAAAGACATGTTACAAGTAAACCAAATCCCTAAGATACCCACAACTATTTAGAAATCTCCAGAATGGTTTAGGTTTGTGGATAGAAACTAGGAAAGCCACCAATGAACAACTTCCCTGGATCTTAGCCAAATTATGATAGATTTATTGGCTTATAGAAGTTAAGACACAAATTAATCCTGGATTAGAAATCCAGAATATAGGATCTAATCCTGAATATAGGACTGCATTGCTTATATTCCATTGTTAATCATAGATTAGCACTACATTTTCAAAGAATCTAAGGACATCTACTGCTGAACTCTCTCTGGGAGCAAATTTAACTCAGTGGAGCTAAAATCTAGGCTATGTACACCAGTGCATATATACCACTATAATGATAATACCACCAGAAAAGGTTCTCATTTAATATGCTCTATTTTATAACATTTCTTTATCAATACAAAGAAAATAAAATTAGTACCTGGCATAAATATTAATAAACATTAATATAATTCTAAATATTAATACCTAGAAAATAAATAACATTTAATAGCTGGAAGAAGTATCTTTGTATTATACAAGTAAAATACAAATTATCATCCTAATAAAGTTGAATTGCAGAGTAGTACCATTTGTACAAGTAATTTTTTTTCCCCTTTAGGGCTGTTATATGAAAGTGCAACAGTGGTTTTACTCCAATTTCTTGTATATTGGAATCATTACCATCTGTGTCTGTGTGATTCAGGTAAGAGCTTAATTCTAACACTACTGTAAGAATTCAATGAGTGAAGCTCTATAAAGACTTAGAACAATGCTATAATCATTGTACATGCACAATAAATGCTGTCTGAGCTCTCCAAGTTGAGTACCAAATAATTCTAATTTCAATCTGACTTAAGGTATCCAAAACATATATGCTAACAACACCTATTTAGTTAATGTATCCCTCTGGATAATGAGGGAGTCACAGCCAAATTAGTAGCATGAAGAAGTTGGCATTGATTCTTCTTTATTTTTTATTTTTGCCTGTACTGGGGCTTGAACTCAGGGCCTAGGCATTGTTCCTGAGCTTCTTTTTGCTCAAGGCTAGCATTCTACCACTTGAGCTACAGTGCCACTTCTGGCTTTTTCTGAGTAGTTTGTTGGAGATAAGAATCTCATGAACTTTCCTACTTGCTTCAAACCATTATCCTCAGATCTCAGACTCCAGACATGAGCCAATGGTACCTGGCTTGGCATTGATTCTTTTCTCAGATTGTCTTGGAAAAAAATGTGATTGGTGAAACAGCCCAATGAAAAATCAACCTTGTATGATGAAACCTCTGTTGAACTAAAGTTCAACAACTAAAAGGTGAAATCTGAGTTGTTTTGAATTCTTTTTTCTTTTATGATATTTGTAATATTGTTCTACCTAAGTATTGTGGAAAATTACAGACTAAGTTGTAACCAAGAAATTCAGAGACAAGTGATTTTTCTCTGTTTGGAGACCAAAGAGACATAGGGCATAGACAAAGCTCAGTATTTAGTAAAGGGGCTTCTGAAGAAGATAAAAAGTTTTAAGTCTTAACATTTTAGTCTTTACATCATTGCCACCTTCTCTCCACACTGTTCTGTTTTTGTTTTTGTTTTTGGTGCCAATACTGAAGCTTAAATCAGGGCCTAGATGTTGTCCCTTAGTGTTACTTTTTTGGCCCTCCACTCAAGGCTAGTGCTCTACCGCTTGAGCCAAGCTCCACTTCTGGCTTTTTGCTGATTAATTGGAGATGAGCATTTCCCAGATTTCACACCACAATCCTCAGATCTCAGCCTCCTGAGCAGCTAGGATTACAGGTATGAGCCACCAAAGAACTCCTGAGAGGGAAGTGATGGATGGAAGGACGGCCAAAGCATGATGTGTAGGTAGATTTCTGCTCTGTGGAGGCAATTCCCAGAATTGTGGGAGAGATGACTTCCCTTATGAAGACCTCACACTGTCTCAATTCTTTTCTCAGGTGCTGGGGATGTCCTTTGCACTCACTCTCAACTGCCAGATTGATAAAACCAGCCAGGCCCTAGGTCTGTGATCTGCCCTGTGCTGGAGAGACTTGTTTTATCTTTGGACATCCACATCATTTACAGCATGAAGCCCCAAATGATCATCTTCTGGACTTCCATCTTTGTCTCCTCATCTCTCCCGTTTGGTTCTCATCTTATGTGTTAGGCAGGCACTTCCATCTCAGACAGCATGGCGACCACTGATGGTAGCAGCCATGCCGCTCAAGGTGTTTAAAGACCAAGAGAATCTGTGACACTGCTGGCTTGAGATTTTAAAAAAAGAGCTCCAGGATTTGAATGTTTGTATCTTTTTGTTGTCAAATTAATCTTCAGCCACTGAATCATGACCAGTTTGCTCTACAAAGTCATATGAGATGAGCTGAAAGGAGTTCTGGGGCCAGATTCAATGATTCCTTTTAATCTGGTTCCTTGGCCATAGGAATGACAGAATACTCTTTTTTTCATAAGGGAAGCTATTATTTTAATTCTCTTATTAAGAATGACTCATTGATTTATTCTAAATCTTTCCAGTCATGCTTACCTTGACTTCATACCCAGTCTCAGTCTTTGAGTTACATAGCTGGGAAGAACCCTGAAGCAATAGTATATTTGGTGGGTCACTTGATAACCACAGTCAGAAGTTTGGGTATTATTGCTCAATTATATAAGGTTTTTTAATGTACTTTTAAATTTTTTCATTAAATAAAATAGCTTATGAACTCAGTTGTAACCATCTCGTTCCTATACCTCAAATACTTCCTCTGTGACAATCTGATTGCTTGACTGGCCAGCTAAGTGTATTAAGTTAGATATTGCTGCCTAACAAATTAGTTTAAATGTTTGTGTATGTAGGTATGTTATGTATTTACATGGTCTCACTATGTTTCCCTGGAGGGCCTCACACAATTCTCCTGCCTGTATCTCCTAAGTATTTAGATTTTGGGTTTGCATCATCAGTGCCCAGCTAACAAACACTTTACTATTTCAATTTTGAGGACTCAGGAATCTTGGAACAGTTGAGCTAGTTGATGGTGGTTTACATTATCTTTTGGATGTTGTCTTATATTGGGTGGTACTGGGGATTGAACTCAGGGTCTCTTGCAAAGCAGGTATTCTACCACTTGAGCAGTACCTCTGGCACCCTTTTGTGTCTGATAATTCTACTCTGGGTCTAGACTGGATTGCAATCCACCCACTTGTTCTTCTCCATGTCACTGGGGATCACAGCACCTACCACTGTGCCCAGACATTGTGATTCTTCTGTACCTGCAATAAAGGATTCCCACCACCAAGCCAAGACAGTAAGTGAGATGGAGTCTCAAGAAGTTTTATACCCAGGCAAGCCTCGAACTGTTATCCTCCAATCTCCATCTCTAAAGTAGCTGGGATTACAGGCTTCAGTCATCACACTCAACCATGACTGCAGCTATCTTGAGTCTCAACTCAATGGTAACTCACCACCATCAAGGTCTCCAGATCATTACCACATGTGTCTTTCCACAGACCTGCCTTATAAGACAGCAGCACATTTCCCCTATAGTGAAACATTCAAGACACAGCATGAGATACAGCACCGGAAACAGAAGCCAAAGTTCTTTCATAATCCAATTCTAAATTGATCAATGGTGGCTCACACCTGTAATCCTAGTTACTAAGAGGCTGAACTCTAAGGATTGTTGTTTGAGCTAGCCTGGGAAGAAAAGTCCATGGAACTCTTATCTCTAATTGACCAGCAGAAAGCCAGAAGTAGATATACGGCTCAAGTGACAGAGCACTAGCCTTGAACAAAAACGCTGAGCATAAGTGCTAAACCAGAGTTCAAGCCTTAGAATTGGCACGTGCTCACTGCCGCCCCCCTCCCACACACAATCCAACTCTTAAAAAATGCTAGGACATAGGCTGGGAATGTGGCTTCGTGGTGGAGTGCTTGCCTAGCATGCACGAAGACCTGGGTTCAAGTCCTCAGTACCACATAAACAGAAAAAGCTGGAAGTGGTGCTGTGGCTCAAGTGGTAGAATGCTAGCCTTCAGCAAACGAAGCTCAGGGACAGTGCCAGGCCTTGAATTCAAGCCCTAGGACTTGCAAAAAAATGCTAGGATATCAATTCTGCTGTATTCTACTTCTTAGGAGAGATTTTTTTTGCTAATGGGGTCCTGAGGAATCGAACTCAGGGCCTCATGCATACAAGGCAAGCGCTCTACCACTGAGCCACCTTCCCAGCCCCGGCTGTAGCTTTATCAAAAGAAATCATAATTATGGGAGGCAGAGGAGGGAAGAGTTGGGGTGGTGGGGAGGGAAGGGATGGTAGGAGAAAAACAAAGGAGGTGGTAATAATACTCGATAGGAACTACACTCATTACCTTACTCATGTAACTGTAACCTCTCTGTACAGTATCTTTACAATAAAAAATTTAAAAATCATAGTCATAACCATTAGATTCGTCAAAGGAAGAAAAAAATACTTTTCAAAACTAATTATCACGGGGCTGAGAAGGTGGCTCAGTGGTAGAGCGCTTGCCTTGCATGTATGAGGCCCTGGGTTCGATTCCTCAGCACCACATAAGCAGAAAAAAAAGCTGGAAGTGGTGCTATAGCTCAAGTGGTAGCATGCTAGCCTTGAGCTGAAGAGCTGAGAGACAGTGCTCAGGCCCAGAGTTCAGGCCCCACGACCAGACCCCCCCCCCAAAAAAAAAAAGAAGAAAAAGAAAAGAAAACTAATTAATCATAGTGATTGGTAGAGGACAGGCAAATGGGAAAATGGAGAGATTATAATCAAAGTGCACAAAGTTTCAATGATGCAAAATTAAGTCCTGGAGATCTACTGTTCAGCATAGTGCATATAGTTAGTGATATTATAATGAATGCTCAATAATTTTCTAACAGTACATCTTAGGTTAAGTGTTGTTATCACAAATAAATAAATGAACAAATAATGATTCTAGGAGAAAACTGTTAGAGCAATGGTCGTGGGGCCTGAACTCTGGGCCTGGGTGCTGTCCCTCAGCTCTTCAGCTCAAGGCTAGCGCTCTACCACTTGAGCCACAGCACTACTTCTGGCTTTTTCTGCTTATGTGGTGCTGAGGAATCAAACTCAGGGCCTCATGCATGCAAGGCAAGCACTCTACAACTGAGCCACCTTCCCAGACCTAAAGCAATGGATTTTTAAAGCATATATTGAAGTGATAGTTTTACAGACATATAGTTATATTCACCCTGCAAACGTGTACATTAAATGCATGAAGCTTATTGTACTTCCCTCATACCACTATAGTGATTTAAGAAAACAAGGCACTTTGAACCAAGAGAAACAATGAACAATGAAATGGACTCACAAAACTTCAGGCATTAGGGTTACTTGACACAAAATTTAATAGCTGTATTTTTCTATGGTTAAAGATGGCTCTAAAACACATGCAGAATGTGACTCTGATCATATAAAATAATATTTATCAAAATGAACTCCAGGAAATGGAAACAAGAAGATCTTTCTTTGTTGTTGGTTTTTTTTTCCTTTTTGTTGTTCATTTATCTGTAAGAGAGGACAATTGGAGGGATGAAGAGTGAACAAATGTAGCAGTGGTACTCACTAGAAACCATGTTGAACACTTGTGAGTAGGAATGGGGGAAAATTGGGAGTGAGGGAAGGGGTGACATTGTCAAAAATGTTTTCTTTACCTGGCTTATATAACTGTAACCCCTCTGTACATAAGTACATCTGTACTGATGTACTCCTCTGTACATCAGTAATTTTATTTTTTTAAAAAAAACATGCAGATAAAAACTAATATGAAAAAATAAAATATAATTGAAATTTAAAATTTAAGTGAATGTGTACAATAGCAGATATGATGGAACTGAGCATGACTCACTAGACAATTTTCATGATATAAATCCGAATGTAGCTATGGTATACTGAAATGTGCCTCCCACAAAATATGTCCAGACCAATGGTGCCTGTGAATGTGATGTTAATGTAGAAACAAATTTTGTATGGCTATTGCTAAGGATCTTAAGGTAGTATCATCCTAGATTCTGAGCACATCTTAAATGCAAAGGGGGTGTCCTTATGAGAGAAAACAAAGACATTTTGAAAACATACTCTGAGGAGAAATGTTTTAAAAATATATTCCAAGACTATGTGAAGAAAACAGCGGAAATTAGAGTGATTTGCCTACATAATAAGGAATGCCATATTGCAGACAACCACAAGAATCCTAGAAAGTGTCAGGCAATGTTTTCTTACTCAGGGTATCAGGAACCTGCCCTAAAGGCACCTTAACTCTGGACTACTGGCCTCCAGGACTGGGAAGGAGGAAGTTGCTATTGTTTGAAGCTACCAAATTTATTCCACCAAATACAGCAGCACACAGAAAGAATGGAAAGTATGAAGGTGAACTTAAGAAATAAGAAAAATAGGAGAAAATCCAACAGAGGTATAAGCGAAGGTTCAAAGAGAAATTTAAAGCATAATAAATTCAATGCTTAAAGTTATAATGACAGAATATTCCAGAACTGGTAGAAAGTGTATCCACAAATAAGGCCTATGAAGTACTTTCATGGGACAAAAACACAATTAAGATACGCACATCTTGGTGAACTCAGATCAAAGGTTCAGAAACCAATTTAAGTGTCTATATAATTTGTGGTTCTAGAAATGGGCAAACAGAAGTAGAACAGTAGAGCTCCAAATTACCTACATGTATAAGTACTGAGTCAGTATCACAAATAATTTGATTTTGGTTTTTGACAGGATCTATATGAATTGGGGCAAATCATGCATGAGGTCTTCATTAGCCAACCTATAGAATTATAATGGACTCGTGTCTGACTTCCTTAAAATTCAGAGCTGCAAAGTGGGCTGCTGTGGCTCTGAATCCAGAAGGGGGAAAAAAACAAAGGAAACCTCCTTGTGAAGTTATGATAATATACCATAATTCTCATGTCTCTGAACACCATATAAAATAGGCCTGACTGTAGTAGTGAATCTCGGAACTGACACTTGATTTAAAGCAGTCCTAAATATAAACATGCCTAAAGACCTAAGATATGCAAACTCCAAATTCTCCATAGGAAGGAAAATTCATATTATGCCTGAGTAAATACACACAAATAAAATTTTAAGCACATTGTCCAATGATCAATCAAAATGAGTCATAAAGGAAAAAAAAAAGCCGGGTGCCAGTGGTTCATGCCTATAATCCTAGCTACTCAGGAGGTTGAGACCAGAAGATTGCAGTTTGAAGCCAGCCTGTACAGAAAAGTCCATGAGACTTTATGTCCAATGAATCACCAGAAACAGAAAGTGGAGATGTTGTTCAAATGGGGGAGTACTAGCCTTGAGCAAAAAAGCTAAGGGACAGTTGCCAGGCCCTGGGTTCAAGCCCAAGTACTGGTACATGCACACAAGTACACACACATGAGCGTGCGCACACACACACACACACACACACACACACAAACAACCCCCAAAGCAAAAACAACACAACACGAGGAAAAACCAAAGTAAACAAGTTAGCAGAGATCTTCACAGACTTCAGATAGTGACTTGGCTTTTTTTAAAGTCAACTATGTTTACAGTGTTATAAAAGTAAATCATAAACTTTAAGGATTCTATAGGAAAGAGAAAGCCATTAAAGTTATAGACTGTAAAAAGAACTGAACAATATCTTATAAATGCAAAGACAATAAGTGAAATTAATGATTAAATGGATGTGTCTTACAA